GTATGGGGGTATTGGGGGACGCTATGGGGGTGTTGGATGTCTTATTGGGGTTTCTGGACCCCAAAGACGACCCCCTACCGGTAGATGCCGACCAGCCGATTGCTCGGCGGGTCGGCAGCCGACCAGTCAAGGGCCGCCGACCGTCGGTGGGTGCAACAATGGAGGAAAGGGGAAAAAAAAGAAATACAGACCCGAGTTTGAGTCCAGATGATGGAACTAGAGGAATCAAATCTAATATTGGAATCAATGCAAGTTATCTCTGCTCTGCACTGTGACAGGTGCATTGTCATCTTCCCGGGGAAAGGGAGTTGACCGATTTGCTATAGGGAAAAAAAGACGAGGAGAGAAGAGCTAGTTCTCAGATAGCTCAGGATGTGGGCGCTAGCTAAGAAGAGTAGGGGGAGGGGACTCGGATTGCTCAGGACGTGGGGTGTAGCTGGGAATAAATAGTAGGGGGAGGGGACACCACAGCTGGTTGTAGAGATAGGAGGTAGAGGTGGGGTAAATCTGTACTGGAGGGAACGATGTGGCCAGATACACTCAGTATTGGCTGTATAATTGCAGTCAGATACGTTCAGGAAGGAGGGAAACAAAGTTCGCTGGTAGAGTGCAAGGTGCGGTTGTGCGGAGGTATGGTTGCAGGCAGCAGCTGAATGGCGCAACTCTCATGGGAGATTCGATGAATTGATCGCAGATCCTGCAACCTGAGGGTGTACGCTCACACTAGGGACCTTTTTGACTCATCTTTGGACGTAGTTGTGGTCAGATACACTCAGGACAGGCCATAATTGCGGTCAGATTCCTTTGGGAAAGCCCTAGTGTGAGTATGCTCCACGTGTTTCTAGTTGCCTTGGTATGGAAGAATCCAAGCCACAATTTTTTTGAGCACTCCTGTAGGTGATAGATGCTTGCAAATAGCACTGTCATCGCTATGATCTTGGAATCGATTTGAGCATAGTTTACATATGTCTTACCGAGGCAAAAATCTCCAGACATGGAGGATTGTCTGCCTGCATTCCATTCTGTGCAGAGATCATGCACATGTGGACTGATGGAAAGAGGTTGGGCAGTGCGTTGTTTTGCATGTACCCTCTGTGTGTGTGTGTGTGTGTGTGTGTGTGTGTGTGTGTGTGTGTGTGAGAGAGAGAGAGAGAGAGAGAGAGAGAGAGAGAGAGAGAGAGAGAGAGAGAGAGAGAGTTGACACTCTTCAGACTCTTCTTCAAATTGTTGAGAGTGTTGAGACCTGGCCGTTTGCCGAACTATAATGAAGAGCAAGAGTGGTGTGTAAATTTGAGAGTGGTGCAAATTTGCGAATACGAAAGACATAACAATAAGAAAGGAGTTGGGAGCTGTGTGGCCATTCTCTCAGAAGCGTTTTTGACACCTTTACACTTCTTACAGGGTGATGCTGTTGCATGCACACACACACACACACACACACACACACACACGCACACACGCACACACACACACACACACACACACACACACACACACACACACACAAATACTCATTCAATTTGGATTGTCCTTCAGGAACAATATGTTACTTCACATCCGCAAGCGCTTCAGTCTCTGGAGAGCAATCCGGATGCGCAATTACCTTCTTCCGCTGCACATGACCAAGCACTGTCCCCTCCCTGTGTAGATCGGGCAGATTCTGCTCCAGACAATAAAAGAACGTCCTTAGAAGATGTTGGCCGTGCCCGTCCAGCCACACAGCCACAGTTCGGTTAGCATTGCACAGTGCATAGTCTCTGCTCCGAACACTATGAAGGGATGGTCACTGCCAGCCTCTGTCACGAAAACTGTGACTCTTTGTCTTGTGTTCATCCCCCCCCCCCTCCTCTAATCGCCTGCCCAATATGCCGTTGTGGCCTTAATCTGCCATGCTTAAATAGCTGCGAATGTCAACCGGCCTTCCTGCTGACATGTCAGCAACATCCATGATGCCATCATCCACCACATCCTCTCTTAGCATGTCCCACATGTGGAGTTGGGAATACAATTATTGCAAACGCCATCGGATCTCCTTTCTTGCTCGGTGAACCGCAGACTCAACAGCCTGAGCAGGAAAGTAGAGTACCACATGAGCCGCTGATAGCGCACTGTGCTGAAGGGCTAACACCACCAGGACGAACCGTTGCAGAACAAATCCTGCAGCAGCTAGACACCCTTGTTTTGGATGAACCCCTCTTGCCACAGTCGTCGTCGTCGGTCCATAGAGAAGGCATCAATGCCCAGGAAACCCAAAACACTTGCTCAATGCCTTTCTGTGATGATCCACCTGAGATTCGGCTAGCATATGTGCTGCATGCATTGTGTCATGAGTATTATGAAGGCACAGCCCGTGCGTCTTTCTGTTTTCATACGTATGATGACAGTCAATATTGCACTCACATCCGGCACCCTGACATTTCATGTCCAATTTGTAGACAGGGGCTCGAACGGCAATGCCTCTACAATTGTAGCCGGCGTGCCTCTGTGGTCCTTGCCTGTGGGAACCACGTTGCCTGCGATATCTGTCTACGTTGTGCCATTCGGTGCAGCAACTCCAACTGCGAGAATTGGATGCGATGCTTCCACAGTCCGCACCCGAATCGGTGCTGTCTGGTCTGCAGGAGTGGTCACCTACCATAGGCAACAGCTACTCCTCATCCTGCAACCTGAACACTGATTGACTTCCCGTGTCATTCTACAGTCGTCTGCTCCAACGGTGCGTGTATAGAGAATCTATTGAACACTCTCTTTCACTCTCTCTCTCTCTATATATATATAAATATATTATATATGTATTATGTATATATTATATATATATATTTTTCCTCCTCCCCGTTGTCTACTCCCTCTCCTTGTGTACTACTAGTAAATGCATATGAATGAGCGTCGTTGAGAGAACAGACAAAATATAATTACCCTTTTACTCTGCCTCCTTTTATAACGTGCAAGTGGGCCGTAAAGGCACACGGGGATGTGGGCAACTGGCGCTCAACCATCATCAACGTGGCCAGCCTTGTACGTGATAGTCACAGTAAGAAGGTAACTGCAAAAACAAAGGAAATGGGAGGCCTCCCAATGCTAGCTGATGAAAATATAATCAAGAAAATGATATAACGGATTTATTGTGTTTTTACTGTTGGGTTGGCCCATCTCAAGTGTGTTGCATTGCCTGTGTAAAGGTGAGATTCCATGCTTGTTTAAAGGTAAGGTTCTGAATAGATATAGACTCCATAAGCAAAACTGTTTCGTTGGTGGATTGGCTCATCTTGAGTATGCTTCATTGTCTGCAATACAGGTGAAGTTGGTATGTCTGTGGATCTACTCATCTGGGTGGAATAGGGGAAGTTGTGGCGATATTTTATAACACACACACACACACACACACACACACACACACACACACACACACACACACACACACACACACACACAC